GAGTTAGAGTTTTCACCATATAAGAAATGATAAATATTTAAGGAGATAAGTATGTTTAACCTGACAACATAAGCATTACACAATATACACATGTATGGAGACATCACACAATACCCCACTAATGTGTATAATTTTTATGTACCAGTTTAAAATACATTAATAATAATAATAAAGGTAAATAATGTCTCCTTTTACACAATTTTTTTGCTTTTTTTTTTCCCCAGTGGTGCTGGGTATTGAACTGTGTGCCTTGAATTCTAGGCAAGCATGCTATTGCTGAGCTTTATCTTTTTCCTCAATCTCTTTGTAAAAATTATTTTGAAAAAAAAATTATTTTGAGGCAGGGCTTCCTAAGTTGCCCAGACTGGGCTTCAACTTGTGATCCTCCCTCCGCCTCACAAGTACCTGGGATTATAGGCCTGTGCCACCAAGCCTGGATTATACTAAGCTTTTTAACTTAAAAAAATTTTTTTTACACCTTTCATTTTGTCTTCAAAATGATTGATTTAGGAAGAACAGAATTTATCTACTTTTTTTTTTTTTTTCAACACATGAAGACACGGAAAAGGTTAAGCAACTTAGGTCAGTGTAACATTTAACATATTTATTTGTAGTCAGTGAGCAGCTAAGACTTAATTTGTAGCTTGGTTGTTTCTGTTCACTCTGACCCCTCCAGAGCGGTCTGTATTGGGCTCAGAAAGCCCAGGACTGGAGCAGAAACAGTGGCTGTCGGGTCACTGCTGGAAGGAGGGCACTTCATTCTAGCCAGCACTGGGCCCTAACTGTTAGAATGAGAACCTAACCGATCCAATGGTACCGCCATGCCTGACTTTAAAGTTAGGAAAGCCAGCCTGACCCTGGAGTTGGGAGAGCAGCCAGGGGGCAGGGCTCACCTTGATCCCATCCTTGGCTCCTTCCTGTAGGTAGGGAATGATAGAGTTGTTCCACAGGTCGATGAACCAGGTCCGGAAGTCCTCGATGCCAATTGGACAGGACAAAAAGAAGCACGGGCCTAGGAAAAGGATGGGGCTCTGGAGATGACCGAGAAACCTGGATCTCCTTGGGTTTGTGCCTCTCTTTTACTACTGAGTACCAGGCAGAGGGGGTCTGACATCCAAAGCATTAAAGGAAATTTGGAGTCGTCAAGGCCAGGGGATGCTGATAGTCTGGCTGACAGTCTCGGGAATTATGCACAATGTGCAAAGGAGACAAGGAAGTGAGGGAAGCTTCCTGACTCCCTCTTACAGACTTTCTCTCCTTTTTTCATTAATTGGGGGGAAAAGAATGAGGGAGGGAGCTTCCTCATGCTGCGCAAGCACTCTACCATTTTTATTTCTTAACACGGGGTCTAAGTATGCTGCCCAGGCTGGTCTCAAACTCCTTGGCTCAAGGAATCCTCCCACCTCAGCCTTCCAGGTGGCTTGGACCTCAAGCGTTGTACCAACAGGCTTGGGGTTAGCTGAGGTGACTCAAGCAATTCATGATGCTAACTGAATTATGTACTTCAACAGTTTTAAGTCTGAAGCCACAAGACTTGTGACTCCTTTACAGGCTGAAGACTCCAGAAAGCAAAGGGAGCACCCCTCCAGGTGGTGAGGGACAAGAGAAGAGGGAAGCTGCACCCCAGTACCGATGAGGAAGTCGGAGGTGCTGTGCTTCTCGAGGAAGGTGTGCAGGTGATACCACAGCTTGGGCACCCAGTCCAGCACCCGAAGCAGCTCTTCCTTGTTGGCATTGATGTCACTGTCTGATTCTACCAACTTCCTCCGGAGGTAACGCACCAAGAAGCCATTGGCTGGTTCCACGTTGTTGGAGAAGGTCAGCATCCTGCCACCAAGGATGGGGAGAGTTGGGTTACAGTGGCAATGGGGACACTGTCAGGGTTCATTCCCTGCCAGTCCACCCCTTCCCTTCTGCTTGCCTCCCACGTATGCCCACTTGGTTTCCTCTCAATTATTAGTGGTGACAATTGAATTCAGGGCAGTAGCTCTGCATAGGCAGAGCTGGTTCTCAAATCAGTGACACTCTTCAAATAATCAACTTTTTCTTTTTTGGTACAGGGGATTGAACTGAGGACCTTACACTTGTGAGGCAGGTGTGGTGCCACTGAGCTAAATCTCCAGGCCTCAGATAATCACTCGACTTCACTAATCTCAATCATGATGGACAGGCAGAGAGTCCTATTTATAGCAGCCTACCAGAGTTCCTCTGCAGTCCTCTCCTCTCCTCCTCTTCCCTCTCCACCCCTCCCCTTTCTTTTTTCTTTCTTTTCCTCAAGCACCCTCTTCCACTCTGTAACCAACCCACAAGTATACCTACTTTCTCTTCTCAGCCTGAAGGGCTCTAGCTACTTCTCTTTCTTTCTGCTACCTGTTGCTCTTCTGCTCTCAAAGTCCAGGATTTAGTTTACAGGCTCTTGAGTGGGTTCAGAAGGCTCATCAAGGGTCACAGGTCTTACCTGAAGCTCAAGTGCAAGCCATGGTTGGGTGTCATTTTTACTGGCTGATTGGTGGTACCTATAATATAGGGACTGTGGGAAGAAAGGGGAGAAAGATTCACTCAGATTTGTTTTCACCCTTGCTTCCTGCCACTTGCTTTCCCAGTCAGCTGGATGGCACTGAGATCTCCCTCTATCCAAACTGTGAGATGTTTGGTCCCAACGCCAGCTTACCATTTGTGGTACTTGCAAGTGAGGGCCCCATTGACCAGCTCACTGATGGAGCCTGCTTCGCTCAGATCATCCAATAAAATCACCAAAGGCACATCCCCAATCCCTGTTTCCCGGTCTATCTGGTTGGCCAGGTTGGAGAGGTACAGTTGTAGATCCTGGAATAAAGGACAGGGGGGTCAGCACTCAGGAATCAACACCGCAGCAGGCTTAGGAAGACTTTTGGGGAAGCTTTCTAGTTCAGGGTTTCCCTGGGGCTTTTGCTTCCTGTTTGCTGCACTCACACATCTGCTTACAAAAACAGATTACCACAGACTGATAAACTGGACCCAGAGGCACTCTTGTTGAGCTGTGGCCCCTCAAACCCCACAAGTGGGGAGCTCACGCTGTTCTTCATAAATGTTTTCTGCACTGGGTTGGCAGCACAAGCTACCGTTAATGGATATGCCTCCTCCAGCTGAGGAGAGCCAAGGCTTGAACCAATTTCAAAGTATAAGACTATGCTCAACAGCACCAAAGGGGACCGACACAGGGCTCCAGGGAAGTATCTAATTCTGAGTGCTTCTTCCCAGAGAGCCCAAGGTCAGAGAGAAACACTGAAAAGAAAGGTAGAAGGAAGAAAGTAGAGAAGGGGCGGGGCATTGACAGTGTCAGCGGAGTGAGGTAGAAACAAGGAGAATGTAGTTTCTCCAGAAATCAATGAAAGGGAAAGCAGCTTAACAGGGGTTAAGAGGAAGTGTGGAGAAAAAAGTTATGGGTCGGGGGGAATGGGGGTAAAGAGCCAAAGTCTGGAAAGAATTGGGGGCAGATGAGGAAGAAGACTAGAAAAGGGATGAAAGGGTGGGAAAAGATCATTGAAGGATGGAGGAAAGGTTAAGAAAGGGAGGAGGAAAAAGGGAATGAGAGGGCAGTAAGAGGTCCAGGCTAGGGCTCACGTGAGGCTGAGGCCTGAACAAAGACTGGCAGGGAGGCCCCCACCTTGCAAGACTGCTGGTGCATGTTGAAGGTGCTGACAATGCCCTCGGTGACTTCGCGGCCAGAGCGCTCCACCAAGTATTCGGCCAGTCGATTGGTCAAGTAGGTCTTGCCCGTACCGCTGGGGCCCGAGAGCACAAGACGACGGTGCTTGAGCAGGAGACTGATGTAGTGCTGCATCATGGGCTTGGGGATCAGCGTCTCAAACACCAGACTGTCCACGCATTTCTCCTTCAGACCTGAAACCGGCCCCAGAAAGCGTCAGTCTTGGTCACCACCATCAAGATGCTACGGGAACCCCAAGAACTTTTCTTTATCTGAAGCTCACGGAAGAAGCCCAGAGACACTTGTCCCACTGTTCCAAGGGACTCTCCTCACACCTAGTTTTGAAAATGTGGGTCTCATTTTTAGAGATATACTCAGAAGTAGAGGTGAATAGATACCGTGAGAAATCCATGCTTAAGAAAAATGTCCCTGGGAGCAAGTTAGGACTGGGTTTGTTGTGCTTGCTTCAGCAGCACATACACTAAAGTAGGACTGGGTTTGTCTTACTTATCTGTTTATAGTTCATGCTACTTAAACACGTTCATATCATAGTTTCCCAGTAAGTTTTGTTGAATGGATGCATGCGGGATTGTTTTGTTTTTTTTCTTTTGATACTCTCTCTGTGCTGGTGCCATACCAAGAGACAAAGATAGATTGTTACAGTTCATATCTAGATGTACTCTTAAAGCCTTATTTGGTCATAGGTGGGACCTTTGGGAGGTGACTGGATTAGGGGGCATTATAACTGACTTGCTGTTGGATGGTGGGTCTGGTTGGAAGAGGTCACTCTTGGGTCCTCTCTTGACTCTGCTTTCTGGCTGCCATGCCATGAAGGTGCTTTTCCTCCACCATACCATCCTTACTGGGAGCCAGTGGGCTCCATGGACTGAAACGTGAGCCAAAATAAACTTCTCCTTCCTAAAGATGTGAGTGCTGGGTACTTTGTCCCAGCAATAAGGGAAGTAACTAAGACAGATTTGATACCAGGAGTGGGGTTGTAGCTGTGATGCTACTTGACCATGTGGTTCAGAAGCCTTTGGAACTGATTCACAGAAGGAGTATGGAAAGGTCTGGAGATGCTGGCTTGTGAAGCGGCCCTAGAATATTGTAAGCCAAGCTTGATGGGAGATTCTGGTCAGAGCTCAGAAGACTAGAATGCTGACAGAAATGCAGATGGTAAAGACCAGAATTAGCAGGTATCTGTTGGGAACAATGACTCCACAGGCACTTGGGTTCCAGGCCATAAGTGTTATGTTTTAGCAGAAAATTTGTCTACATTTTGCTCAACTCCTGAAACTGTGAGAGACTGTGATCAAGGGTGGTGGGCTAATTCATCTGGTGGAAGAAATTTCAAGGCAATCCAATGTTTTGAGTTTGGCCAGAAAGAAAGCTCTGTTAATGTTGGGGCCTGTAAAAATGGAGTAGAGGAGAGCTTGGTTGTTAAAAAGATTAGCATTTAAAAGAAGTCAAGTACTTTACAACAGGACAATAGGAAAAATGGCTTAAGGGCATGGGAGGAACCAGCAAGGCTCCACCCTTTGCAGGCTCAAAATTGCAAAAGTGAAAAAATTTGCTTTGAGAACAGAACCTAGGGCACCATGCTTGAGAAGGACCACCTGGAAAATTTATTTCCCAGGATTCAATTCATAGCTCTTCGCCATCCAGGCACTCAGAGATTTCTGCAGCTAGGACATAAAGAAGCCTGGCTACTAAGCAGACCTTGGTGTCATCCATAGGATGTGGGTTTTACAGGCATGCAGAGTGTAATCAGGAAGGCTTCTACCCAGATTTCAGAAGAAGGACTGTGAGGTCAGGCAGTGTGTCCCTCAGAGGGCAGTGCAATGAAGCTGTGAGAGTGAAGCCAGAAGTGTAGTGTAGATCCCAAGAAATTTGAGAAGCCAAGAATGTGAAACATCTGAGGAAAAAGGAAAGGAGCCAGCCTGAGAGAGAAGTCATGAGAGCTACAACCATGGGCAATGCTGTAGGGATGGAGTTGCCCAAGTGCTTTGGAGATCACATCTCACCACAGCTTAACCTGCATGCTGAACATGGAATTATGGGATTTAATGTTCGCCCTACTGGGTTTCTGTCTTGCTTTGATCCAATTTCTTTTTATCTCCTGTTCTTTTCTTTTGAAATGGGAATGTTTACCCTGTGCCATTGTATGTTGGCAGTGTTTAACTTTCTTTTGACTTTTTTTTTTTTGGTACTGGGTATTGAACTCAGGACCTTGTACTTGCGAGGCAGGCATGGTGCCACTGAGCTAAAGCCTTGGCTCTCTTTTGATTTTTATATAGGGGCTCACAATTAAGTTTGCCTTACGTCTCAGAGGAGACTCTGGACTTGGATTTTTTAGCAATATTGGAACTATGAGGACTTTGACAAGTTGTAGGATTAAATACATTTTGCATAAAGAGATGCACATGGGTCTTTTGGCCACCAAGGTTGGAATGTTACAGCTTATGTCTAGATGTAACCCTAAAGCCTCAAAAGATCACAGGTGGGACCTTAGGGAAGTGATTTGATTATAGTGGACTTGCTGTTAGGAGGGACAGTCTGGTCAAAAGAGGTGGGTTACTGTGGGCCTGACCTGGAAGTTTATATCTCCCTTCCTGGGTCCTCCCTTCATGCTTTCGGCTTCCTGGCTGCCATGCTGTGGAGGTGCTTTCCCTCTGCCATGCCCTCTCTACCATGCCATCCTTGCTAGGAGCCAGTGGACACCATGAACTGAAAAATGAGCCAAAATAAACGTCTCTTTCCTTAAACTGTGGGTGTCAGGTATTTCGTCCCAGCAACAAGGGAAGTAAGTAAGACACTGACCTTTGAGGGAGACTGATATGTTATTGACACCTCGACGACAAGGAGGCATCTCTGGGGGCTCAGCATCCAATACTCGTTTCACGTGGCTGAGGCTGTAGCCATGGATGGAGTCAGTGCTTAGACCCAGGGTGGAGGCTGGGTCCATTTTGGAAATGTAGTCCTGATAAAAGAGATGGGTGAACAAGAAGAAGGTGAGAAACACTGAAAAGATACAAGCACAGGTAGAAAAGCCACAGGAATGAATAAATATTAGAGGAAGCAAAAAGAGGTGGGAAAAGAGAAGAGTGCATATTTTTCCTATTTTGTTTTTCTGAATAAATAATCAACATCTCCAAGATCTCACTGCATGGAGAGCTCAAATATCCCATGAGAGGTGAGTACATGTAACCCTTTACCTTGAACACTTGGAAAACAGCTTCATCCAGCATCTTCCAGTCAACTTTTCCACTGACCTTGCTACATCCCAGGAAGAATTCCTGCTGCTTCAAGTCCTGTAAGGTTAAAGTAGAAGCATGTGAGTCTTAGTACAGATGATTCCAAGGAAGGAAATCCTAGAAGGTCTTAGGAGTTGAATACTCTAGTTTAAGGAATATTCAGAGTCCAGCATAAATACGACCAGAGAGCTGGGGATTTAGCTCAGTGGCACTGTGCCTGCCTCACAAGCACAAGGTCCTGAGTTCAATCTCTGGTACCAAAAAAAAGCAAAAACAAAAACATAAACGTGACCAGACAGGTACTCCTTGATTTACAGTGGCATGACACCCTGGTAAACCCATCATGAGATAAAAATGTCATCGAGTCCAAAACGCATTTAATACCTCTAACCTTTGGAACATCACAGCATATAGTAGTTCCCTGTAGACTATTGGTTACGCACCCTTAGGATTGGCTGACTGGGAGCTGTGGCTCACTCTCACCACCCAGTATCTTGAGAAAGTCTCATACTGCATGTTGCCAGCCCAAGAAAAGATCAGAATTTAAAATATGAAGTATGGTTTCTGCTGAACATGCCTTGCTTCTGCACCACAGTCAAGCTGGGGAACATCTGTGTTATGCTTGTTTCTACCCTGGACCCCCTGAAGTTCCTTACCCCTTTGATGATGTGCTGAGGGGGCATCCGTACCACCACCCGAAGGGACGCTTCCTCCTTTGGACCGCAGGTGCTGATGCCATCCATGGGTGACAGGTCTGTGGAAATTAAAAAAGACTAACTTGTTTTAAAGTTACCCACAGATTTTCTTAAACCTTCTAGTCATTATCTTTTCTGAATATTTACCACAAATAGGAAATGGGATGGGAACCCAAACAGAAGAGAGTAAATTAAAAAGGTGTCAGGGCTTAAAAATCACATTTAGCTGGGTTAGTGCTGCATGTCTAAAATCCCAGCACTATGGGAGGCTGAGGTAGGAGGCAAGTTTAAGCCCAGCCAGGGCAACAACTCAGCAAGACCCTGTCTCGGAAAAAAAAAAAAAAAACCAAAAAAAAAAAAAAACTGGGGCTGCAGATCAGTGCCCCAACACTGCCAATAACTCTCACCGTCTCTTGACACTAGCATTGCTTTATTTGGCACTGTTACCTCCCTGGCCCGAGGAAGAAGCCACAGCACCAGTGGAATAGTGGAACAGTGAAATGGGCCTTTTCTTCTCTCTAGGCTTAGAGGCCTTTCTCCCAACAGGTACCTGTGTCTGTGAGGCTTGGGCTGAAGGGATGAGTAAGTGCAAGGCCGAGGGAGCGGCGAGGGGACGACAGAGCAGAGGATCCAGGGACCTGCCCCGGAGTGGAGCCTGAGGAAGGGCCAGGGGCGACCTTCAACCGGTCATTCTCCGCCTTCAGCAGGTCCACCTCCAGCTGTGGGGAGAACAGACAGGGCAGTGTGGCAAGGCTGGACATGCCTCAGGCCCTGGGCTCCCCTTCCCTGCAGCTCTGTCTGAAGCTGACCTGCATGTTGTGCATGGTCTCCCGAAGCTGGTCCAGTTGGTGGGCAGAGTTGAGGGCCTCCAAGCGGATGTCTGTGAGCTTCATCTCTTTCTCCCACAGCTCAGAGCGCAGCTCCGATACTTCCTTCTTCTCGGGCTCCTCCTCCTCCGCGTTGGTGTGGAAGAGCCTCGTGGGGGGAGCGGAGTAAGCAGGCGCCCTGTACGAAAACAAGGCTCAGCCAGGTTCCTGGAGAAACATTACCCGGGAGACTGGCGGGGGTGGTGGGTAGTCTCAGCTCTTCCTACCCACGGATACTCAGGCAGTGTGACGACAAGGTCCCCTGGGGGTCTCGCATGCCCAGGAAGAAGCCAGCAAGGCACACCGCCACCAGCCTAGTGGCAGGGAGATGGAGCACTTACTCGGGGACGTCAGTGCCCACAGAGGACGAGTTGGAGGACTTGATAGAGGGTGAGGCAGCCTCTGTGGAGCCATGCTGCAGTTTAGGGGACGAGGGGGCTGAGGAGTCAGGTGTGGCGATCTCCTCGATATCAGAGTATGAGGAAGCTGACTTGGGTCCCTTTTTTATACTGAAGGCTTTGTTGAAGGAACTTCGAAGCTAGAAAAGAACAGATCCGGGTAGACAGATGTCAGGGCTCCACTCTGGGGATGGGGGGGAATGATCTGGGACTTCTGGGACAGGTGATATGGAGGCAGGGGATTTCTTTGCTGCAATTAGGCCTGCTCTATGAGGGTTCACATGGTTCACAGCGTATGGACAGAAGAGCTGCCTAGAAATTAGGACTGAGAGAAAGAAGGAGGTCTTCTGGCTTGCTGCCTTTGTAGGCTATGGGATCTTCTGTCTTTTCCTTCCCATGGATACGAGGACAGAGAAGTCCCCAGAGGTCACGTGGGTCCCCAGAGGTCCCGTGGCCTACCTCTCCAGAACCCAGTCCCACCCTCTCCAGCAGACCAGTAACTGCTCAATCTGAACCTAGCTCACTTGGGGCTCAGGATGGCACCTGTGCCTTGGGCTCTTCACCTAGAAATCTATTCACAGCTTCACAAATCAACTAGATACTGACATGATTCTGTGAAGGTCAAGCGAAGGTGGCGGTACCAATTTGCATTTAGCATTCTTCTTGTCTTGCACATCACAGAGTGGTTAAGAAAAGCAGACATTAGCACCTTTTACTATTTCAAATATCCTAGAACAAGTGCTATTTTCCAGCATTTCCACGGACTATGTAGGGCATTATAATCTGACCACAGCTTGTTTGATCCAGGTGTTGATGAGCATGGGTGTTAGGGATGTGAGCTGCGAGTGCAAACCAGGGTGTGTCCCACACCCCCTCACATGCATCCATACAGCATGCACACACACACACACACACACACACACAGGGACAACGTGGAGCGGCAGCAAGAGACAGAACAAAGGAGGGGTGGGAGCGACGGGGACCAAGGCAAGCCAGATCTTTGGGACAGAGAAAAAAGAAGAGAAACCTGGAAGATATCCTTTCTAAGAATCTCTCCTGGAACACAGAAGGCTGTTCTGAGATGCATGGAGCTAGCAGGGGATGTGTATGGCATCCCCACTGGGCGAGCTATAAAGGAGGACCGATCTGGCTGTGCGAGGATATGAGGAGAGAGACTGTGTCTGCCAACTGCTTCCAGGGCACGTAAGTTCATTCAGCACTCAAAGCTCAAAAGAACCATAAATCTTAGTTCTCTGTAGAGGTGAAGAACTCAGGCTGAAAAGAAACTGACTTGCTTGGTACTGCATAACTGAGGAAGACCTGGGACTGGGATTTGGGCCTCCTAATTCTCAATTCCATGACGCTTTCTCTACACCCCTGCCTCGTGGGAAGCTGTGTGTGTGTGTGTGTGTGTGTGTGTGTGTGTGTGTGTGAGCACGTGCGTGTGCCCCTGGGTCCAAATGTATGCACAAAAAATTCCTGTGATCACAAGTAGCCTGGAGCATAAGCTCATGCAAGGTCCGGAGTTCAATCCCCAGTACCAAAAAAAAAAAAAAAAAAAAAAAAAAAAAATTTATAATGTGTAGTCTAGTATCCTGAAGGCCAGAACCACTGGGAGAAATTTGGTGTTGTTTGGCTAATGGATCCATGGTTAAATGAATTCAGGAAAGAACAGATTAAGCAATGTGAAACAGAATTCTTTACTGAGGGACATCTTAGAACTTTCTCTGTGCGGATGTGCACAGCAGAAAGTGCAGTACCGCATCTTCTTAAGGTGCATCTCAGTGGGTTAGTGATTTGTGGAACCTGCTTCGGGAAATGCTAACAAATCAGGTTTGAATGAGCAGCCGGCCCTCCCATCTGTGCTCTACACTCCCCAAACAGGGCACTGGCGACGCTGATCCTTTCCTAGCCCCACCTGTTCTCCTCTGACCAGACAGTGTCCATGCAGAAAGGATCCCAACACACTCCTCCCTCCCTATCACAACCTAACCTAAGTGCACATTTACCTCCTTTCTGACGTTTTCCTACTCCCTATAGTCACAGTCTCTCTCATCTGTAAATTTACAATAAACCTTTTAGGGAAGCATTTTGGCACCACTAGAGTGTCATTCACTTTATTTGTACAATTTTTTTGTCTCCCCAGCAATGCTACAGGCTCCTTAATAACAGATAATGGACTCAGTGTTTGCCACCCTTCACAACAGCTAGCACTGTACTCGGATAGGGTAAGAGCAAACCATAGGTGTCTTTTCTGTAACAGAAATCTGGTACACTTTCTGCTTATTTTGGGCTATTCTTTGGCAACTCCACGGATGCCGAGAGGGTATTTGGCTTTGGGTGACTTTAGTGCGGCCAGGGCTGGGCCATATTCCTCATCCTGGTTGTCCTACTTCACAGCTGTGTCTTCAGGCTGAGCCTCAACTGAGCTGGCCTCTGGAAATCGTGCTCAGGCTAACTTTCACCCAGTGATTCTCCTCCATTTGGGGCTTAACAGAACAAAAATGAAAAGGCTCATTTCCTGGATAGGATGAGCTCAACTTAACTGATTTTTTTAATAGGCCAATTTTGCAACAGTAGAAGACAATAGGGAACAGATTTGGATTTTGCTCGACTTTCCCATTCGACCCGCAACCAGACCACTCCTCTGTCCTTTTGTGGGCAGCTGTGGATGGGCCATGCAGTGGAGTTAGGAACACTTGGGTGGTTGTTAGGGTTAGTGCTATGGGGGCCATTTGTTTGTTTGTTTTTTTTTTTTTTTTTTAGGAGGAAGAGTTGCTCTGGAAATAGGGAAGGTATGGCAAAGGGAAAGAGAAAATAAGGGGAAGAGGAACCGGGTCTCTTACCTCATAGACCTGGAAAAAAATAGGGATTTGAAGTCAGCATTTTGAAGGAAAAAAAAAAAAAAAAAAAAAGAAGAAGAAGAAGCAACACTTAATCACTCATTTCACACAGCTGGCTCCTATCTGCGTTCCATGAAGGTCTGTGGGGACACTTCCTGACTAGGGGACAGAGCAGCAGGATGTTCCCACCGGGGACATGTTCCCTTCTACAGGCAGCCAAAATTGCTGGGTCCATTCATGAATTTCAGAAAGGTCATCCAAGGCCAGGTTAGAGCTACAGGGGGAGGCATAAAAAAACTGCCCATGGTCTGGCTGGAGGTGACGTTAAGAGTCCTTTTGAAGTTACCCTTTGAAGCTCCACAAATACCTCTCCCAAACTGAAGAAGTTACCTCCAGGAGTTTCTAGAATGAAGGGCTTTGTTTATAAAATCTTTTCTCCACAGTAAAAAAGGAAGTGGTGCGGGGGGGGGGGAGGACCTGCTAAGTTCTCTCTGGGTATTTTCTCCACTTCCTTCTGTGGCCACACACCTGACGTAATCAACGTGGACAGTCCCAGGAGCAGGGGTGTTTAAGGTTGCAGGAGGAACCTTGTGACAAGGAGGGAACTGTCCTGAGCAGACAGAAAATAGTCTTAGGACTGGAAGGGACTGCTGCGCGGTTAATCCTGGGAGGATCGGACCCTATGCTGAGGTGGAAGTGTCCACATGGGTCTACATGGTTTCCACCCCCAAATCTTTACCTACCCAACTCTTCTTCTTCTTCTTTTTGGCATCAGCATCCTTGCTGCTGCCGATGCTAGAATGGCTGGTGATGCTGTTGAGACTTGAGATGCTATCCGAGGAGTTTTGTCTCTTGATCCGGAGTTCTGGGGCCAAGGACAAGGGGGTAAGGACACAAGTAGATTTAGAGACTTGAGATTCAAGGCAGTTCTAGGTACGGGAGATAAGAGGGGAAGGAACCAACTGACTCCTAGGTACACATTATTCATTTTTTGAAACATTCACTCAGAGAACATTTACCAAGCGCCAAATACACTTCAGCACTGAAACAATGCTAATGGTAAAAATTAAGAAACTCTGGGTAGTCAGGAGTGGAAACAACTGAGCCCAGAAACAGGCGAGCATGGAGGCTGGACTCGAGACAGATGAGGGACCCTGAGTGCCTTCTAGAGAAAATATGCCTTTGTGCCCTCAGTTGTGGGCAGCAGACATTCTGTAAAAAGAGCACAGTATTACTGGATTGTAAAAAACTCTTTTTATTTCAGGATCATTACAGATTCATAAAAAGTTGCAAAGGTGCCCACCTACCTTTCACGTCTTGCATAACTACAGTGTAATGTCACAAGACCTTTCTTGTCTTGTTCTGGTACTGGGGATCGAACTCAGGACCTTGTGCTTGTGAGGCAGGCGCGGCACCACTGAACTCAAGCCCTGGCCACAGACTTTTTAAAAAAAGTTAATAATAAGAAAAAAACGAAGAATCAAGAAACTAGACCAGGTGTAGGAGACTAGTTAGGCGGCTGTTTGTTCTATAAACAAGAGCGATTAAGTCAAAGAAGTACTGTTTGTATTTGGCTACTTCTTACTCTCTCTGTGAACAAAAATGGATCTTTAAACTATCATTTTTCCCTTGATATTATAAGGATAACAGCACCTTAGAATCCTGACTTAGAATCTGTTGAAATAGCTTATAAAACAGAAAACCTTTCGTTCAATGATAATCAAACCAAGTTTATGGTACTACAAGTACTTTGGTTTCATTTATTTATTTATTTATTTATTTTTGGTACCGGGGTTTTGAACTCAGGACCTTGCACTTGCAAAGCAGGCAGCAGAAACACTGAGCTAAATATCCCCAGCCCACTTATTTTGGTTATTTTTAAAGGTGTGAAAAATTATCAAGAGATTATGCTGAATTCAAGAAAAAGTCATTTGTATATTAAAAAAAAGGGCATATATTTGCTTCTATTTGAATAATTATTTCTAGAAAGATGCAAAAGAACTCTTAGCAGTACTTACCTTTGGGTGGTGGGACTTGAAAAATGGATCTTAGAGAGGGATTTTATATTTTACCATATATCCTTTTGTGTAGTTTACTTCTGGGGCTGACAAATTTACATTTATCGTAAAGGATCAAAGACTAAACATATCAGGCTTTGTTGCCACATGGTCTGTCTCAGTCAGCTCTGTTGTTGTAACATTAAAGCAGCCACACACAATATGTAAATTAATGATCACGACTGTACATCGGTAAAATTCTATTTAAGAGATAGTGGTAAAACCAAGTGTGGTAGAACATGTCTGTAACCCTAGCACTCTGGAGGTAGGAGGCTGAGGCAGGAGGGTCACAAGCTAGAGCCCAGGCCGGGCACTTGGCAACTTAGTGAGACACTGTCATAAAATTAAAAACGAAGAGGCTGGGAATTTCGCTCAGTGTCAGCACACCTGCCTGGCAAGTGCAAGGTCCTGAGTTTGATTCCCTGGTACCAGGAAAAAAAATTTAAAAATGAAAGGAGCAGGGAATATAGCTCAGCCCAAAGACCCTGGGTCTAGCCCCAGTCACACACACACACACACACACACACACACACACACACACACACAGTGCAAGTCAGATTTGGCTAATGACCGTGGCTAGCTGATCCATAGTTTATGTTTGCCCCCAGAATATGCATTGTTTTTAATGACAAAAATAATCAGTTTAACTGAAATTAGTTAATTAAAAACAAAATAAAGGATGGCTACATACAAGTAAGTGTATTTATCTATAATTTAGAGGTTTCAATTAGTTATGAGCCTATCAGTTAAATGAAAATACTGAGCCAGGGGTGATGGTACACACCTGTTATCCCAGCACCCTGGGATGTTGAGGTAGGAAGACTACAAGTTTGAGCTCAGCCTGGGCACTTTAACAACTTAGAATCTATCTCATAATAAAAAATGAAAAAAAATTGTATAAACAAATAAATAAATAAGCAAACCCATATAAAGTATTTTTGAGAGCAAAAGGTATGTTGTAGCATTACTAATACTCAAAAAGTCAGGAATCTTTTGTGTACTCTGAATTCTGTGCCATGTAAATTTCTTACCTATTTACAAATAATAATAAAGTTAGGCATCATTGCTTAATAAACATTAGCAGTTTGAAAGCTCCTAGACTCCTCCTGATCAAACTGAGCCTGGATCATCAAGAACTGAGATAACGTTCAAAACTCACAGCGGAGAAAAATCATGATTCATTCACTCAGCAAACATATATCGGAAGAGCCAAGGGTACTTATGAAATTAGAAGACTATCCCAGATCCATCACTTACGAGCTGTGTTTCAGCAAATTATTTTCTCTGATCTTATTTTCCTCATTTATAAAATATACTTCATTGGGTTTTTATCTGGAATAAATGAACTGATATATGTAAAGTGCTTAGAGAAGTGCCTCCCACAGGCAAGTGCTCGATCCACACGAGTGTTGCTGTTACCATGGGTGGATCAGAGCGTGCAGGAGAAGGGGTGGGAGGTGAGGCTAGAAAGGGCTGCTGGTCCGCGGAGAGGGCAGGGTGCGTGCTACCGGGCTGGCAGTGTGTTCTTTCCCTGCTTTGCTTTCCTGAAATGTTTCACACACACAGGAAAACTTAAAGCATAGTACAGCGAACACCCCTTATGTGTTCTAACCGAGAAATTTTAAACACTGTGTATTATATTTGCTTTCTCTCCCTACCCTAGACACTTTCTCAAAAGATGTGAAAATACGTTGCAGACAACATGACATTTTACCACTAAGCTCTTCTTCTTCTTCTTTTTTTTGCTACTGGGGATTGAACTTGGGACCTTGCACTCCCACTGCAGTCGGAGGAACCACTGAGGTAAATCCCTGGCCCTCCACTGAGTACTTCTAAGAAGCACATCCCTCACAATATCATGATAGCACATCACACACACGTATACACACACTGACAGCAGTATCTTTTGGCTTAATATCTAATTCATATTAAAATGGGAATGCTTTCTGATCTTAACTGATGTAAGCGAATTGCTCTGGAGGCAACATAAAGGAAAGCCTGGAGCAAGGCAAGACCAGGCAGGGAATGACAGCACCAACCAAGAAGAAGAAAGGAGGAATGTAACTGAGAGGCGTATGGGGATGAGAACTCACTCACTGCACAGGATGAAGCAGTGAGGAGTCAAGGGAAACTCCTTTGCGTGGCCTGGGTGAACAGACAGGTGGTAATATACCTGAGCCGAGCAAGGTTTCGGAGGGGAAAGGGTTGGCTTGAGTATTTGTAAATGCGGTAGAGAGGAAGACTTTCAACTTTGGAAATGCTAAATGAAGGGAGACCTATGACATCAACTAAGTGGAAATGTCCAAAAGTATACGGAGGAACTTAGACTGAGCTGGACAGAAATGAAGATTAGGCAGAAGTTGGAAAACTACTGAGCTAAATGAGCCCAGCAAGTTTGTAGGATATGAGATCAGTAAACAAACAAAAATCAATTGCATTTTATTTTCTTCGTGGCACTGGGGATTGATCCAGGGTTTACACACTTTATAGGCAAGCACCCCACCACTGAGTTGCACCCTGAACCCTTTGGTTTTTTTTTTTTTTTTGGTACTGGGGATTGAACTCAGGTCCTTGTGTTTGCAAGGCAGGCTACCAAACCGCTGAGCTAAATCCCCGTGCCCCTTTGTATTTTTTTAAGACAGGGTCTCACTGAGTTGGCCACTCTAGACTCAAATTTTCCATCCTCCTGCCTCAGCCTCCCAGTAGCTGGAATTACAGGTGTATGCTACCATTTTTTGGCTTGTATTTCTATATACTAGTAAGCGAATAACTTAAAAGGGAAATTAAGAAAACAATTCTACTTACACTAGCATAAAAATAAGTTTAGCAAAAGAAATGAAGGACTTTTATTATGAAAGTTGCAAAATACTGTCATTGAGATAAATAGCAAAAATCTAAATAAATGAAGAGGATTGGCCATGGTTGGAAATATCCTAGTCTTACCTGCCTTACAGAGTAGCCACTGAACAAGAAAACAATGATGGGGTATGAGTCAAGGACAGGCTGCCTGGGGATGGCAATTTTTTTCTTTTAATTTTGCCTCACATTTTTTTTTTTTTTTTTTTTGGCACCGGGGATCCAACTCAGGACTTTGCACTTTCGAGGCAGGCAGTGGCACCACTGAGCTAAACCCCTGGCCCATGGCTGACATTTTTTACCTCATTTTCAAGGCTGACTATTTTTTAGCTAGGTCTTATTTTCAGGGAAACACTATATCTAAACAAGGGAGTATTAGTCAGAAATAAGAAATGACGTACTGACACACAATACCACATGGATGAGTCTTGGAAACATTTTACTGAGTAAAAGGAGCCAACCACAAAAGACTGTACATCATATGATTCTTTCGACATTAGATATTCAGAATAGGCAAACCCAGAGACAGAAAACAGATTAGTGGTGGGCAGGAAATGAGAGGAGGGAAATTGGTGAGAGACTACTAATGGGCTTGGGGTGTCTTTTTAAGGCAGTGAAAAGGTTTTGGAGTTAGCGGTGACGATTGTATAACCTCTTTTGGTGGTGGTGGTGGTGGTTAGGTGCTCCAGATGGAACCCAGGGCCTCACCCACGCTAGGCAAGAACTGTAACACTGAGCCACACGCAGCCCCTGCACCATCTTCTGAATATGCTAAAAACAATTGAGTGATATTCTTTACAGGGGCGAATTTTACTGTATGTGAATAATCTCAATTTGAAACAAATAATAAAAGGTTATAGAAACTATAGGATTAAGGTAGAAGGATTGGGCCAGCCCGGGCTACATGGTCAGATCTTGTCGGGTGGGGGGAGCATAGGACAGATGTGACATCAGGAAAGGTGTAGCGTAGTCAGAAGGAACAAGGGTGTGACTGGTACCTTGAAGATGCTGGTACTTGAGGGGGTTCCACGAAGGAATCAGAGAATTGGAACGTGACTCAGAAGCTAGGAGGAAAATTGACTGCAAAGAGATGTTACGGCGGCCAAGTCTTGGAGATCTGGGGACCAGCAGTGTGTGAGTGAGCATGTGTGCAGGAGAAATATATATATATGTATTTGGTACTGGGGATTGAACTCTGACCTTGCTCTGGCCAGGCAGGTGGTGGAACCAATGAGCCAAATCCCAGGCCCAGGGAGCAGTATTTTTTGAGCAGTATTGATTATGCCGGGTTCTGTGGTAGATGCTAATATACACTGTCGGGTTTAATACAATTTCCGGTTAGGTGGCATTCTCTCCACTTTATAGAAATCAAGTTAAATAAGTACTAAACATAATTTGGATTTTTGAAAAAAAAAAAAGGGGTGGGGTGGGGTTTGAGCTGGTCATTGTGGCATATGCCTGTAATCCCAGCACGCAGGAGGCTTGCCACAAGTTTGAGGCCAGCCTGGGCTACATAGTGAATTCAAGGCCAGCCTGGGCTATACAGCAAGACCCTGTCTCAAAGAAAAAAAAAATGTGGGGGTGTTGCTGGTGACTTCAGTGAAAGTGGTTTTAGTAGGAAGATGGCGACAGCAGTGTAATTTTAGTGGGGAGGTGGAAAGGGAAGGTTGACTGTGCAGGAAGGAAAGAGGAAATTATAGGTAGAAAGGACATTAGTTGACAGGTCTTTCTTCCTCTCTAGGACACAAGAGGCTTGAGCAGATGGACGAGCAGAAAAGGAAGAGAGATGAAGAGATCAGAGCCAGGTGGAGTGGCGCACACCTGTGATCCCAGCAGTTGGAGGCTGAGGCAGGAGGAAGCAAGATCAAGGCCAGCACAGACTATGTAGTGAGTTCAAGGCCAGCCTGAACTACATAGCAACACTCTGTCTCAACAAACAAACGCACACAAAACAAACAATGAGAAATGAAGAGGTCATTGAGGAAAAGAGAGTACACGTGCAGGGGGAGTGTGGCTGTTAGAGGGAGCACCCAAAGAACTAGATAAGGGATTCTTTGCGGCCAGATGGGATAGCTCTTTCTAACAAGATGAGTGAGAATAAATAATGATCAGATAATGTAATCGATGGAGGGAGGAGTCACTGATGGAGTTCTCGCTTGAAGATGTTCATTTCTTTCCTTCCTTTCTGCTCTCTTTGGTACTGGGAATTTAACCCTGAGCCTTTACACTGAGCCACGTCCCTAGCCCTTTTTATTTTTTTTATTAGTACATAATTATTACATTCATTTTGGGGAGTGGTACATGCACACAACACACCCTAATTCTGTTTACTTCTCTCCCCTGCCATTTCTTGGTTTGCTTCCCATTTGCAAAACAGTGCTTTCTTTTCAATTTTTATTCTGAGACAAGCTGCCCCAAGGGCCCTGCTGGAGGCAGAGCCTCCGATTTGTTTGGCATCGCTGGATTACCAGCCATCCCGTAGCCAAGCCTGACCAGTTAGTAAGTCCCAGGCCCCCGTGACCTATGTGATCTTTGGCTATCTCATTGGAAGAGTGGATTTCATCACCCTTAAAGAAGTGAAGTGAGAATCAAACAAGATTTAAATATTTGTGTAGACAAAAAGCACATTTGAGGGAAAATGTGAAGTTTTAACGACTGACTTCGACAGCTCTTTGGCTCTGATCTAAAAGATGAGGACATGGATGACCAGAGAGGAAGACGCGTCTCCCCACGTGCTCCCAGTCCAGGGAGGGTGGGGCCACGCCGCCGGCTCAAATCACTGGCCTGTCCAGGCACCACACTGGAGGGCATCGGAGGGCCCTCACCTTCCAGAAATCTGCCCCTGCAGTAACTTCCCCTTCACCTTCCCTCATCGTCCTACAATCTGTGGCTGGCTGACTTACCTTTGGGTGTGGTTTCTGAGGCATTCAGGGCTCCCTGAATGACTGCCTGAGCCTCAGAGTTCTTTTTCTTCAGAAAGTCTATGGTTTCCCGCAAATCCAGCAGCTCCGTGTCCTAAGAGTGAAATCAAAGTAGTGTCATTTGTTGGGATAAGGAGAAGCACCGACAATTTGCCAGGCCAGGGGCTAAGTGCTGAGATTGCCCCAGACTGAACAGACAAAAGGAGGGAACTGGGACAGGGAATGAGGTGACATTGCAGGGAGGGGAAGCTGAGAATCCCGACGACAGCCAGGGAGGTGGAACTGGCCCCGGGGCGCCGGCGGGAGGGTGGCGCTGGGCTGTGCCCGGAACCCCTTCTCCGGCTCTCACCTTCTCCTCGGCGGTCTCTGCCAGGTGTCGCAAGCGAGACGTCATGTTCACCAGGCTCTGCTCAAAAGCAGCCACTAGATTAGCCTGGAACAAACACATAAGGAGGATCTTAAACTGTGAGAGGCCGGGGCATAAGGTGACTGACACGGGAAGCAGCTTTAACCAGTTTTCTGTGTCTCAGAGCTGACCAAGGCCAGCACATCTTTGGTGTTTTTTTGTTTTTGTTTTTGGTACAGGATCAAACTCAGGACCTTGCGCTTGTGAGGCAGGCGGTAGAACCACTGAGCTAAATCCCCGGCCCTTGTGGTGGTTTTAAAATAGTTTTCCCTGAGAAGACAAGGGTATCAAGGTGGAATCAAGATTTTCTGGCAGAAGACGGCTTCTTAAATAATGAAGAAAGCAGGCTTTGGGAAGGTCTTGGGGATCTGAGATCTGCTACCTGTCATCTACTAGAGATAGGACAGCCCCTCTGCTCTAGTGATATGTGGGTAGCAGGCTTGTTTTCTACTGTGGAGGGGCTGGCCCCAGATAAACTCCCAGAAGGATCTGTCTGCTACATCTCCTCCACCTCTGCACCCAGGGTAGCTCTCCATTTTATTTATTTATGGTACCAGGGATCAAACCTGGGACCTTCTGTTTGCAAGGCAGATGGAAGAACCGCTGAGCTAAATCCCTGGCCCCTAGCTCTCCACTTTTAACTTAAAGAATCTTTGCTTTGGAGCTATCCTTGTTCCTGGAGTTTTTTCCCCCCACCCCCCAGGCTCCACTTTGTAGGGCTGGAAGTAGCTAGAAACCTCAGGGGCATTCCACAGTCTGGCCACTAGGTGTCAGGGTTGCCTCGTGAGGGTTGTAGGACCAAGGCAGGCTGGGCAGAAGGGCTGGGGGTGGTTTGAGGCCCCCCAGATCTGGTTTGAACACTAGCTGGCCAACTGGCAGCAGGGTGTACAGAAATGACGGAGGGAATAAGGCACGAAACCAGAAAGGGGAACACTCAAGGGTGGGGAAATAGCCATCAAGTTGGTGACCTTAACAAGAATTGATGGACATATTCTGGGCTTGCCCTTCATGAGGAGCCCTAGGGGATCTGTGACACTCCCACTGCTTCCTGTTGGCTTGTAATTCTCCCTCCGTGGTGGGTCAACTCTAGCTGTCACCCAGTGCCCCTAACCATGCAGCAGTCGACTTTCACTGGAACACAGCTGCAGGCAATGCCTTCCACCCCACTGAGCCTTTCCTTCCACTTTCAGTATAAATCTACAGAAACCTCTGTCCCTTAGCAGACACCTGTCACAACATAAGCAGCTTTCCTTCACCTTCTGTCTTCCTAATATCAGGTCATCTCTACACCCCGGTGTGGCTGTAGACAGGCAGCTTGTAGTCTTTGGGATTCTACTCATGAGCCCAAGAACCCCTGGCCTCCTGTGTGCTTTTCTGTGCTGGCCTCTCTCATCTGGAGGCCTGGGCTTTCCTACTCCTCTTGTACATTTCCTTCCCCCGCTCTGATCCTTCCCTTAGTCCCTGGGTGCCTGCACGGCCTCAAGGCGAAGGAGTCAGAGAGGCTAGCTTGGGAAGGAAGGTGGTCCGGGGCCCAGCCGGTAGAGGGTCTGTCCTCAGCCTCAGTAGCTTGGAAGTGCCATGTAACGACAAGGCTGATTCAGCACCTGGGGACACTGAAGAGCGCTTGGGACTTTCCCGGGGTCCTGGCATCACATCTCCTGCCTGAGGGCTGGGCTCTGAACCAGCTAAAATCTGCTTCTAGACTGAGAAGGCACCATGTCTAGGTGTTTAGTTTGTTCTCTTTTAGCAGAATGGAACTTCTTATTCTAAGAAAAATCACCCTCTGAATTCATTTCCTTGGCGCTAGCCCATTCTTGACAGCACGATGGCTGATGGATTGCACTGTGAATGGATCAGACAGGATAGTGTTCTCTGCCTCCCTGGCGCCTTTCCCCCAGCAGCTCCCAGAAATGAATTCCCTGGGGGTGTACAGGACGTGACCCAAGCCGCTGGCCTTGGTGGGTGTGGCCCGAGGGAGAGAAAAGATGGGTCTGTTCAGGTTGCAATTTTTTTGGTCCCCAAGAGCAGGGAGAAGTGTTTGCCATGAGATTTAAACAAAGCAGCAAGTACACAGCTTGTAAGTAGAGGGTTGGGAAAAAAGAAAAGATAATAACCAATATGCTGAGGGAGATGCTGCTGAAATATATTGGAAACATGCACGATCTTGGTAGAGATTCTACCTGATTCCAAGGAATAGACCCCGGAGCCTGACAGCTGGTTTCCCCAGAGAGGAAGGGAAGAGAAAAAACCAGAAACTACTGTGGAAATTGCAGACATGGTTACTTTTGTGCAAACACTTGGAAAGCTCCTGCAGATCCGGCTCAGCTGTTGTTTACAGCTTTGGGGGAAAATGGCTCTTATGTTCTGTGTACAACCGAGTCACAGGGGGAGAAACAACCACAACCTGGTTAGATGAGGTGGCTTCCTTTCTCCCCATCTCCCAGGGTAGAAAAACTAAGGCAGAAAGAAAGAAAGAAAGAAAGAAAGAGAGACAGAGAGAGAGAGAGAGAAAGGAAGGAAGGAAGGAAGGAAGGATAGGAAACCAACCTTCTGAGGATGCAGGCAGAAACAAAAAACACTGGCTCCCAACCAAAAGCTCAGAGCATCAGGCGGGGCAGTTGTGAAGGAAAGATTTAGCTAAAATGGGAGTTAGGCTTTGAAGTGGTCATCAGGCCACTAATGCCTACTTCTGTGCCTACATGGTGTGAAAAACGACACAAACACTCTGTGCCAATGAGAAAGGGTTCTGAGGACTGTATGACTGAATCTGGAGTTCGCTCCGGCCTCCCTGCAGAACCCCTGCTAAACCTCCTCTCTCTAGGAAGGTCAAAGACCACAGCCACCAACTCATCAAACCTGTCCACTGGGGTAGGGGCAAAATGGTCTACTGTGAAAAGGAGCTTCAGAGAAGGTGAAGGGTAATCCCCAAGTCCTCTGTCAGGCCAGCGCCGTGAAGACCCACGCCCTTGGCATCTAAGGCCAGGGCATAATCTTCCTCCCTTGGCTGAATTTATCTAATTATGGTCATAATAAGTGTCCTGGTCTTTCCCCGCTTCAGGTACTCACATTGGCAGAAAGCTGGGATGTCAGTGTGGCCACTTTTTCCTGGGACGATTCCAGTTCCCTACGAAGCTTCCGGATTTGCTGTGAAAGGAAGAAAAGGCAAACTACTAACGGCGGAAGAAGCAGAAGATCTGGAAGGGAGACAGGGTGCAGTGGTGTTAACAAGCGGAGACAAGGCTTTGGACCCTACCTCAGACTGCATCCTCTCCTCAGCCTGAAGAAGGGAGCACAGGAGAGAGAGAGAGAGAGAAAGGAGGTGTTACCACGGGAGGCAAAGAAGCCAGGCCCTAGAGGCAAGGTAGACTTGAAGAAGCGATTCAAAGCGCAGAGAAGGCAAAGCTTAGTTCCTGGACCCACTCCTTACTTAGGCTCAGACCTAAACTAGGGTTTTAATAAAAGATTCCTCAGCTGGGATTTGTGGTGCAAGCCTATAGTCCCAGCACTTATGGAGACTAAGGCAGGAGAATCACAAATTCAAGCCCAGCCTGGGCAACTGAGCGAATTAACAAGATTCTGGCTCAAAATAAAAAAATAAAAAAAGTTTTTGGTACCAGGGATTGAACTTGGGTTCTTGGGCTTTCAAGGCAGGTGCGCTGCCACTGAGCTAAATCCCTGGCCCTAAAATATAAATTTTAAGAAACGATTTCTCTGGTGCTTATCTCTAGCCAACTTTGTCACTGTAGAGAAGGCCAGGAAATAAAATTTTAGATGGTCTGAGAACTCACCCTTACTGTTAGCATCCTGAAGAAGTAAAGAACTAGAGTCAAAGAACTTTGCTATAAATGCTTCCCACTTACCATGGTACAGAGAGGGCTCTATAATAAAGGGACTCTCAGTTTTCAAAGGAGGGAAAGTTGGTGGTGAGGGCAAAAAGACCCCTCAGGACCAGAGGCACCTGAATGAGTGCTGCAAGCTCCAGGCATCTTCTCCCCACCACAGAGACAGCAGAGCCCCAGGCCTAGCTCCAGGGGCAGGGGCGGTGGGGGACGGAAATTGAGGGGGGAGGAAAGCAGTGCTCTTACTGAGGAGTACGTGGAGGAGGCACTGGAGGCCAGGGACAGCACGGAGCCATGAACTGAAAGGGAAAGAGAATAGGAACGGTTAGGAGGGGCTTCAGGGACAAGGGGTTCCTGGAGGGCCCTAAAGCAGGAGTTTGGATTCTGATTCTGGAGGGCGTCTGGAGCAGTCAGAGCAAAGCAGAACAGGGAACCCAGCTGGATCCCGACAGCCCAAGCAGGTTTCCAGGGAGCCACGGTGCTGAGCAGAGACAGCCTCCTCTCTCATCTACTTTCTCTGGCAGCCTGGGCACAGCGGCCCCTGCTCAGCACAGGGCTTCAGCAAGAAGGAGCAGAGGTTTTATGGGTAGTTGCCATCTCATCTGCCCAGTCAGGAAAGTAATTTAAGATGCAGGAGCAGGGAACTTCTTGTCAGAGATACTCCGAACAAATACTGCAAATCTGTCTGTACCTCCTTTTGCAGGACTTGCCTGGGGGTCACTCAGATAAAAAAAGTATGTGAGTGGGGAATACTCATTCTAATTACTCCACAGAACCCACCACAAGAATTAAAATACACCCGCAAGGGATGCCCCCTGAAAGGAGCATCCTGAAAATAACAACGGCAGGCCGCACAGCCCACAAGGCCTGGTCTCCCACCCAGTCACCACCACTGACATTCAGATGGCCCTCCCTGAAGCTAACCTTTGGAACATTCTGGAAAGAGGAATGAGATCCCTAATGCCTTGTAAGGACTGAAGAGCTACCATTACGTCCCTGTGTCTTTTCTAAAACTGAGACCGTGGGGAGGAAAGACTACTGTTAGAAGGAAGAGAACAGAAACTGGTTTTCAGAGCACCCTGAGGGGCACCATTTCCACTCTGGAGTTCCCTCCCCCAGCCCCGTGAGATGCTTTCATCCCAAAGCCCCAGTGCTAGATGGCGCCACCCAAGGTTTCTGGGCCCCCAGACCCTTCAAAGGTAAGGGAAGAAAGAACGGAAATGGCCCAAATCAATGTCCTGTGAATCATGTATGTGTGTGTGGTGGTGGCAGTGGTGGCAGTGGAGGTGGTGGTGGGTGAGGGGACCCAGCAGAGCCGGAATGAGCGTGAACCGCGCTGGCATGAAGTCTCACCATCGTCCGTGGGGTCTCGGAAGGATCCTGACCGAATCATTCCCTTGGGTCTCTCGGCCAGGGACAGGGTGCTCCCCATTTGGGAGCCGCTGTACAGCTCGAAGGCCGCCTCGTGGGTGGGGATGCTGTTGGAGCGAGTGATTCTTGGCGTGGTGGCCGCAGTGGGACTCACTGGAAGGACAGAGGGAAGGGGGACAGGAGAGGGAGGGGGAGGCAGGAGAAGAGGCAGGGTCATCAGCTCTCTGGTCCCTTGGGGGACGGAGCACCAGGAGCAAGAGAGGCGATGGGAGAGGGCAGGAGAGGCAGGGGTAGGTGGGGCGGTGGGAGTGTGCAAGCAGCTGGTGGTTAGGAGTGGGGTCCCTCCTGGGGAGGCCGAGCCCTAATGGCAAAGGACCTTGCCGTCTGGAATAAGAACCTTCCTTCAGCCCTGCCTGCCTCGGAGGTGGCACTTTTGAAGGTTAGGCTGAGGGCCTGGCAGCGTTCCCGAAACCTTCACATCGCTGGGATGTGCTGATGAAAATGGATGTAGTGGTTCTCTAGAACACAGCTGGCAAACCTGGAGGACTGAGCGCTCACCTCAAGATCAGATCCAGGTGATGACAAGGAACCAGCTAGAGAAGGGGCCAGGCTGTGGGACCCAGTGGGCTCACATCATGCGAGGGAGTGAGAGTCTCCCCCAGAGTGGTGCCAATTGAAGCCACTTTAGGCCAGCTCTAAAGTACCAAGAAATACTGCCCTCTCTGCCCAGCATTCCCCTGGCTTGAAAGTCAGACAGACTGGGGCAGACGTGTCAGGTAAGGCTGTGGGACCTGCAGAACCTTCCCTTTCCTCCCTTGCTGGGATTATAGCCTTTCAGGGTGCACCCCTCATGGAGCTCCGTAGTCGACACAGGCAGGCGGACGTCTACTCTGTCCATAAAGACCTGTGCTGAAGATCTCACACCTCTCCCTTGAATCCACACGGTGATTAACGGTTAGGTTAGCTCAGTCCCTTGTTCTGCAGCACGAACGCCTTTCCTCTTGTTAAGTCCTCAGTGGAAATGGAAAACAAGCCGGCCTGATCCTCCATTAAATAGCCCTCCCCAGGCCAGATGACCCTCCTGGAGAGACTGATCCTGACTCCTGTCTTTCCTGATTCCCCAGTCACTGCACAGGCGCGTTACAGGTCCTTGTTTTAGATTAACTGCTTTCTTTCACTCAGCTGAAAGAGATGGGTTTAGAGAAGCAGGAAGCAAATAGCAGGCAGACGCTGCCCCAAAGGGGTTCCCAGAGCCAGGGTGCAGTGCTTCTGTGCCAGAGCCAGGCCCACCCCCGAGGTTCTGTCTCCTCCCTGTCTCCGTGTCAATGAACCATTTCCTTCTGTCCCAGCTTTACAGAGGGTGTAGCCAGGCCAGGTCTTAGTCAGCTCTGCCTTCCGGGGTAGGGCACGCCTGGCCCGGCCTGAGCACTTGAGAACTGGACTCTTCTGGGTTTGGAGGCCATCCCCATTGTGCTCAGTCAATAACCCTTCCCTGCTTCCTCCCCAAAAGCCCTGCACAATAGTGCTGCCCCCGCCCCCCCGCAGCCCAGGCACTGGTTTGATCTCTGAGCTTCATGACTTTTCCAGGGCTTCTTTCGGACTCTCTGATAGTCTAGGGATTTGCACCCAGGGGCAATTTTTCATTTTAGAATCTCGGAACACCTTGCCTTTAACCTTGTTTGGGGTGGATAAACTGAGCCTCTGTGAAGCAACCAGATAGCACAAGTCAAATATGAGATGGAAACCCATGGCCAGCTGCCTTGCCTCGCCCTGCAGGGAGATCCCTGCTTCGTCCCATGTCACAGCGAGCAACCAGAAACACTGACCTATGTTGGTAAGCTGGCCCTTTGCACTCAGGGACACGGAGAGGGCAGAGGGGGAAGGCAGCTCTGCTGGGTCGTTGGATTCGGGCAGCCCACCAATGGTGTGGGAGTGCCGTCTCTCCTTGGTCTCCTCCTGGGACTGAAGCTGGTACCTGCAGGAGGCAGCAGAAGGACTCAGCCTGGACCACTACAGAGGGACACGTGAGGCCTGATGTGGGGATATCCCAGCTAGGCTGGGCCCAGGACGAAGTGGCGCAAGGAAAAGGGAGCAGTCAGGGCTGCCTCCTCCGCAGTCTCTTAGGATGGTGCTAAAGGATTAGCAGGCACTCTCAAGTCAGCTCCCAGTGGGGTGTGGAAATTACGGAGGAGGCATCGAGACTTTTCCCCTGCTGCTCAGGGCAGAGCTCTATGGTTCCAGGCATGGCTTTGGGGTCCCTGAAGTCCCCACCCAACTTTGAACGACTCAAGGTTGCCCTAAGAGTGGGAGACCAGGTGTGCCGGCCGCTCGTCCTGCTGAGTGTCACAGGCACACTGTGAGGGAGGAGATTCCAGAGAGAAGTTCAGCCTGGATTGGGGCAGCTCAGGCAGGTACAGGCCTGCAAACGATTCTCACACACCAGCTCATTTGTCCCCTGTCACCAAAGACCACTTGCTGTAAAAGCTGGCTGGCAGGCTTGGGCACAGCCCCAGTGGCACTTGTAAGAACCATATGTGGATGAGTATATGGTTCATGCATGGGGCCTAGGACAAATCAAGTGAGGATTTTTCATATGGACCAGCCCTGGTACAGGGAAGAAAAAACACATTTGAGGGTTACCTGAGCCCCTTCTTCGGAAGGGTGTTCCGATCCCGCTGATTACTGTGGAGGTGAATAAAGATAAGCTTGTAAGTCCAGCTTAGAAACAAAAGCTTGGGACCTCAGGCCTGAGGGAATCACACTCTGACACAGGACAGCAAACTGTGAGACCCTTTATCTCTATACACAAAGTAAGAAGCCAATCACAGCCAAGTTCTTGCTTACAACTTGGGAACTTCATCTGAAATGAAAAATGTTTTTATATCTGATAGGGAATTAACGTATAGTTGGCCATTCAAAGATGATATTATGATGGGTGAGATGTGATATAACAAATGATTTTGGACTAGAAAGCAAAAGAGCTTTGGATGACAGCTAAACTAATTATGAGGTACGTTCTTTTACTTTTTGTGCACAGGTTTCCTCATTTTTATCAGGGGAATAAAACAATCTATATTATGGAATTGTTGTGAAACAAATGAAATTACTTAAAATGTGAAAGAATTCTGCACTCACAAAGTGGCAATCATATATAGGATGGTACTGCTAATGGCCAAACGAGCCCAAGGCAGGAAGACCAGCTTAGGCCCAGCCCTGTCTCCATCCACCTACCTGTCCAACTGTCCCACCCTGGGGCTTCCGCTCCAGGTCAGCTCTTCCGTTTCTTCCTCTGGAGGTGCAGCAGGAGCAGCAGGTGGGGTGGGGATGGGAGAACTGCTGGGAAAGGTACTGGGCAGGCTCATTGGCATCTGAAGGGACTCCATGCTCCTGTGCAGGCCTGAGAGTTTGGGGTACATGCGGGTTTCCTTTGGGACACTGAAACCGCTCATTAGCTCCAGGCCCTGGGAGAAGCTGGCTGAGTTAATATTGAGGATGGGTGCCGGACTGGGGGTGAAGCAAGTAGGGAGAGGACCCCCAGTTGCTGAGCTTGTGGCATGCAGATCTGGGACCTTTGCAGTGTGGGTGTCGCCGGACGACGGTAGATCCAGGCTGTTAGAGTTGACCTTGTCTAGATTGGCTAGTGAGGGTGGCTTGACAAAGCTCTTGGCTGTGGCCCTGAGAGAAGCGAAGATAAAATAAAATATTTAGGGTGACAGAATTACAGAGCAAGAGGCAGTCTTCCTCTAGTTTCCTTTCTAGGAAGTACAGACCACCCTGTAAGTAGAGGCTCAGCCTGATGCTGTTGAGAAAGCAACTGGAAGGCAATCAGGTACCTAACTTAAGACACCTTGTCTTTATTTATTTGTACCAGGGATTGAACTCTGGACCTTGTACTTGCTAGGCAGGGAGCAGCATCACTGAGCTAAATCCCCAGCCCCAGGACACCTTCAGTATTAAAAAGAGACATTATACACACGTGGGAAACCCAAGTCAATTTATCTACTCACAAAAGGTATTTGTGTCTAAAGAAACACATTAAAACCACCTGAACAAGAACTACAGACAGGTTAAATGTGGATCAGGGAATAGCAGGAGTAAATCAAGTTTGGAATTTCATTTTTCTATTTCTTTTTGTTTTCCTTCCCAGTACTAGGGATTGAACCCAAAACCTACTTTCTAGGCAAGCACTGTACCACCAAACTACACGCTCCCTTATTGGCCCTTAATATTTTTTATTTTGAGGCAGGGTATTGATAGGTTGCCAAGGCTGACCTTGAACTTTCGAACCTCCTGCCTCAGCCTCCAGAGTAGTGGGATTACAGGTGTGTACCACTGCTCCTGGCTTGAATACAGTTTTGAAAGATACTTGGCATAGAAGGGAGGGGAGGCTAAAGACCATGCAAAGGCCTGAGAGGAAGTGGATAGGCCAAGCTACACCTAGTCTAAGGAGGGACAGGATATGCAAAAGAACGGGAGAGCAGGCAGGCAGGGAGGAAAGTGCCCATTCTGGGTACCTGAGAGGGGTTGGTGGCAGCTCTGCTAGCTTGGTGGCTGGGGGGTGGCTTGCTTGGTTCTTGGGAGTACTTTCCGGGGAGCCAATGCTCTTCAAGGAGATGTTGTCTGCGTCCAAGGCCACTGCCTTGGCTTTGGCCTTCTCCTTTTCCCGATCCGTCTGATTGACAGGGGCTGGCATGGCCCGCCCACTGGCAACCTTGGAAGGCTCCTTCAGTCTGGAGGGAGTAAGGCCTGCTTGCTTGGTGCTGAGGAGATTGGGCTCAATGCTGCTGCTCACAGGGCGCGGTCCACCCCGCCCACCGGTCACGCTCATAGAACTGGACTTGGCTGGCCGCGGTAGGCTGCGGTACTGGATGTTGGACCGGGCCCCAGGAGCCAGGAATCCGGGCTCTGTGCTGTTGGACACATCTAGGCTCGTCTTGCGTCCATTTACGGGCTTCACGGGGATGCCTGAGGACTTCTGGATCTTGCTGAGAGTGGCTGAGCCACCAGTCTGCATCACGGTGGCTGTGCCTGTGGCGGGAGGAGGCTTCTTGTAGCCAAAGGATCCCGAAGTGGAGGGGCGAGCAATGCCCGAAGGGGGCTTCTTAGCATCGCTCAGACGATCCCGGCCAGCATCGGAAGAGGAGCGCTGTAGCCCGGTATTTTTCACCGCAAGCTTACCCTTGTCTGCTGCTTTGCCTTCAGGTTTACCTGCGAGAGGGCAAAAATGAGGTAAGAGCAGCTCTCATTGACGATTATTATTATTTTTTTTGTTTTTGGTAGTAATAGTGGATTAAATCCAGGGTCTTTGTACTGAGATACATCTCCAGCCCTTTTCATGTATCTCTTTAGATTTTGAGACATGGTCTCATTAAGTTTCCAGGCTGGGTTTGAATTTGCCATCCTCCTCCTGCCTCAGCCTCCCAGAGGGCTGGGATTACGGGCTTGACCAGTATCTTAAAAAATCTTTTTCTTTCTCTCTGTGGAACAAGAGAACATTGTCAATGTACTGTAGAACTTGAGAGGCCTAAATATGGCAAGCAGGTACCGAATAAGCTGATGAAGTTTCTTGCCACAGCAATTCTGGGTGGGAGAGGTGGGGAGGCTAGGTTTTTTTCGTGTTTTTTGCCATTTTCTGCTCCCATCATAGGATGACTTATTTCAGGTTAGGTGGCAGAAGCAACCACAAAGATGATCAAGAAGGAGGTGCAGGGAAATAAAGGAGGAGAAGGGATCAAATATGGTGAGGCAATGCCTATTGGTAATTAGAGACCAGAGGAAAATGTTGATTAGGGCTAAAGTGACCCAAGGGGCCAATTTTGGGAGCACTACAATTTCTTGCCGTCATCGCTTGATTTATTATTTTCCCAGGTCCTCCTTGGGAGGGCAAGCAAGTGTCTTGTCGTCTTGGGACAGGAAAAAAAGAAACTAATGGGAAGTGTTTGCGGAGAGGTCAAACTTGTCTTTGAACATAGCGTATTCTCTCCCTCCTCCGCCTCTTACCAGTGGTGTGATTTTAGCCCAGCCACTTACCCCTAGGCTCTGCTTCCTGTTCTGTGGAATGGAGCTGGTAATGCCCTAACTCAGAAGATGCCTCGAAGACCAGAGAAGACGGTGCGTGTCAAAGCACTGTGCACTGTCTGCTATCCTCCTGTGGGTTAACGACCATCAAGCCCTTGTCCCCGCCTTTGGCCCAGGCTCACCTGCGACTTTGAGGGCGCTCTGGGCTGTGTGAGTGATGGGGGAAGTGACAGCCACCGGGGGGGTCTTGCCCTTCTTCAGGGAACCAGGGTGTCCCAGGCTGATGGGCTTTTTCAGTTCCCCAGTCTTGGATGAGTCGTCACAGCTCTCAGGCCGCTCCCTCCGCCACTTCGAAGTCCCAGGCTCCATCTTCAGGCTGCCGCTGTCGTACTCCAGCTTTTTGGGGGCCTTCTCCTCTGATTCACTAAACCAGCTCAGCCCACTTTCTGCCAGGGAGCGCTTCTCTGAGTCTGTGCGTAGCTAAAGAGAAGAAAGAAAAAGGCAGAGTGTGACACTATGTGGGGAAGGCAGCATGAACAGGTGATGGGATTTATTTTCATTGGAAAGTGACCTCGCTCCCCCCAGAGTATGAAGTCAACCCAGGGTGTCTACCAACCGAAGCAGATCTTACATGTATCACCCCAGATGGGTATGAGTAAAAAACACAGGCATTGGGACAACACTTACTGTCTTCTGTGACTGCTTGGATGCCTTAGCTTTTTGCTTTTAGCTCTGAAAGAACCTGGCCAAAGGCTGATGGGATCCAGTATACGCACATGTGCGTGCGCATGTTTGTGTGTGTGTGCATGTGCCCGCCCAGCGCGCACACACCCTGTGGTTCATCTTGAGCTGGGGACCCAGTGTTTGCAAAGCCACGCACCACTACTGTAGAGTTCCTGCGCGAAGCAGTAGGTGTGGTTGGGAGGGAGTTGAGTGAGGAGCTGGCATTGAACTCTTCCGAGCTGAGATTGTCCGAGGCATCGCTGAGCCCGCTGCTGATAGAGCTGCTTTCATCCCAGCTGCAGGAAAGGAGAGATGAAGGCCGCAGTTCAAACAGAAGCCAAGCAAGAGGTAATTTTTTTATAACGATGGAAGAACGACTTGACACCATCCTTGTGAAAGGAGAAAGCCTGAAGGTCCGTCCTAGGTTTACCAGTAATTCAAAGGGTGGCGTGAGCCTCGTCATTTGGTGATGTTCTTTTCTAAAATGAAGAGACTCTGTCTTTATCTGGCAAGAGAGGACGTTATGTTTCCTTAGTAGAAAGGTATAGTATAAAGGCGAGGTAACTCTTGGATACATCTAATCGTACAGACCAATTTCCTCTCTCTATAAACAACCTCCACTCTCATAACTGCCCTATTTTTGCTTATTTTTAGATGTGGTCCTCATGTATTTTCCCCACCACCTTTGTAAAATTTTATCAGGTGACGAGGGCCAGGAAGAGATTTCTCTTTTCTGAGCTTCCAGACCTATCACGTCTCATCGCTGCCCTTCTCACACAGCTCACCCACCGGGACACACGGCGCTGCTCTGAAACAGCGCGTGCTGCTCTCCTGGCAAATGAGCTAAATTCAGGGTGCTGCGGCAGAGGGGCCAGATTCCAGCAGAACGGCTTCGTTTCTCTGCCAATTTCTTGGAATTCAGATTGTGGAATTGAGGAGAGACTGCTGTTCAACATCTGTCTCCGTAAACACCTCTATCTGGTGCACGAAGTGAATCTACTGTAGCCTCCACATCTTCCTGGTTTGGGCTCTCCTGCCTTCCCTTGGCTGCTCAATTTTTGGAGTTGACAAGCTTCGCAGTCAGTTTATTCTCCTAACATCCAAACCAAACAGCATCTTCTGCTAGGCCTACCACTTTCTTCTCTCTGTACTTGTTTGCTATTCACATGTTTCTAAACACTTATCCTCTCTCTCTCTCTCTCTCTCTCTCTCTCTCTCTCTCTCTGACATGGTCTTACTACATAGTTCAGGTCGGCCTTGAACTCCCTATGTAGCCCAGGCTGGCCTTAAACTTGTGGTGATCCTCCTGCTTCAACCTCCAGAGTGCTGGGACTAAAGGCTTGTGCCACCACGCCCAACTTCATCATGGTATTTTCTAAGGCCAAATTCTGTCTCCTAGAAACTTTCTTCAGAAGCTGTGTGCTTCAAGTCTTTACCTAAGAAGTTCTTCAGCTTTTCACTCCAGTTTAAGAATCTAAAACTGAACACAGGAGGTCAGTAAGCCTGCTTTATGTAAGTATCTGATTGCACTCACAGGAAATAATCTCTAAATCCTTGTATCTGTTCAGAGTAGGTTTATCAGCTTTGCATGTGTGCAAGAACTAAAGAGGCTGGAAATGTTTTCTCCCTGAATTAGCTGGTATTTGGAAAATTTTTCTTTTCCAATTTATTTTGAGTTTCAGATCACAGAACAAAAATTAGACATACAAGTCCTCTAAGTGCCTGGCCTGGATTTCTGTGGCCTCCTTCTAATTCATGTGCTGGGAATAGGAAAGTGGGTGGTTTGGACAGTTGGCTTGTTTGTTCTGTAGTGATTTATCCAAATATACTGAGAAAGAGCAAAGGAAGTACAGGGATTAGGATGCACTACTGAGTTATTTAAATTTTATTACTATGAAAGATAGTCATTATCAAATGACGCCCTCCCACCATGATACATATTAAACTGTCCTTCGGGCAGGGCTATCACTCTGTAGAGAAAGGATGCTGAGGAAAGACCAGTGCTGATTTTAGGATCCTATCAGTTCTTCTCAGTCAAGATAAGATCTTTGGCAAGCAAACAAACAAACCATTCACAGCAAGTTCTCTTAGGTCAAAGGCACAGGAAGCCTATAACTTCAAGCCTTTCATTTGAGATTAATTATTGGTAATCAAGGTTCTGGAGCAAAAGAAAGCTCCCTTTTTATGGATAGGTTCTTGCAAAAAAAGAAAAAAAAATACTGCTGCAGGCTAGAAATCCAGAAGAAACCTTCTTTTGCTCTACATTTATGGCAGGCCTGATACTGACACACAGGAGGTGTTTTCTTCTAAGAGAGGCTTCAGGCAGTCCTTGCTAAAGACATTCCTCCAGAGCTCTTTCCCTACTATGAGGAATTATAAGCCTAAAGTTATGAAGGAAGGTTGGTTAGAGGATTTAAAGATTTCCTAGCAAAACTTTTTTCCAGGTTCTGAACAAAAGAAAAATTCTGTTGTCATTAAAGGTTAAGTATCTCTACTGGAGGGGCCTCACTGCAGGAGCATATTTCCTTTCTTTAAAAAAATAGAAAGACAGCCAGGTGTGGTGGCACACGCCTGTCATCCCAGCACTCGGGAGGCTGAGGCAGGAGGATCACTGTGAGTTCGACGCCAGCCTGGGCTACATAGTGAGTTCCAGGTTAGTCTCAACTATATAGTGAGACCCTGTCTCCAAAAAAAGAAAAGAAAAAAAGAAAGAAAGAGAAAAAGTGATAAATATTGATGGTTCAGATATTCCTTAAAACTATCCATGCCTATAATCCAGCACTCTGGGAGGCTGAGGCAGGAACATTGCAAGTTTGAACCCACCTGACTAACTTAGGGATTTATCAAGGCCCTGTCTCAAAATGGCTAGGGTTGTAAGCACTGGATTCAATTCCAAGTACTGGGATGGGGGGGTGCCCTTTTTCTTCACTTCTGGTTTTACTGTCAAGGTAACTCCTTTGTTCTTCCTTCAAAACATAGCCTATTCATCTCTCTGTCTTCTAGCTGTTCCTCTTCGAACTGCTGAGTGCTGACATTGTGGGACCACACTTTATCCACCTGAGATTCTCTCTACCTGACTTAACCTGGATCTTCGCCTTTCTCGTTGCTAGTTCACTCTCTTGTTTTAGCGAAGTATCTTCCATTAGGTTACTGGAAAAGGATGCTTTGGAAGTAAACTTTGTAAAATCTTACATGTCATAAAATGTCTTTATTGTACCTCTGCATGTGAGATTTAGGCTAGCATACACTTCTAAGATGAGAATGTCTGTTCTGAATGTAAAGGGACTGTTCCACCGTCTTGCTTCTACAGTTGCCATTCTGATTCCTTGTGCTTAGTATGCGATCTGCTTCTTTGTCTCCTTTCTGGAACTCTTTTTTTTTTTTTGGTATCGGAGATTGAACTCAGGTCCTTGAGCTTGCAAGGCAGGCAGTGGAACCACTAAGCTAAATCCCTGACCCCTTTCTGGAACTTTTAGCACCTCCTAGTGTTCTGAAACATCATTAATGATATACTTTGAGTTAGTACCATTCTGGATCCTTTTACATCTGGAAGCTCGTGACCTTCAGGGAAATGTTCTCACATTTTAAAAAAATTTTCTTTTCCCCTTCACTCTTTCTCCTCTTTGTTTTTCCCTAGTACCGAGCACTGAACCTAAGGCCTTCCCTTGAGCCTCATCCCCAGTTCTGTCTATTTGTCTGTCTGTCCTATCTACCTATCAACCAGTCAATCGTTTGATGGTATACTAATAAAAATAAAATAAAAAAAAATCAGAAAACTCAGAGACCTTACTATTCTTTTTATAATCTAATCTCATCATAAACCCAAACAACTCCAAACTGGCAACTGGTATGAAAGAGAAATGGTGTAGTTGTTTCCATTCTGCAAAAGTTCCTATAAGAACAATGACACCAGGGCCAGGGATTTAGCTCAGTGGTTCTGCCGCCTGCCTTGAAAGTGCAAGGACCCGAGTTTGATCCCTGGTGCCAAAAAAAAAAAAGAGAGAGAGAACAATGACACCAGCCAGGCATGATGGTGCATACCTATGATCCCAGCACTGGAGAGGCGAGGCAGAAGGATTGTGAGTTCAAGGCCAGCCGGGGCTACAAGGTGAGACCAGTCTGAGCTACAGAGCGTGGCCCTGTCTCAAAAAATCAAAAAGAAGAAGAAGAACAGTGGCACTGCGACATGTTTATCTACCCTCAGAAGAGGCAATGAGTTTACATAAGCATCTGTGAGGGTCAGGTCAGACATAGACAGGACTATGAAAATGATGCTACGTGTCAGTGGATATTTCTAGAGTGCTGGGACAGGTTACGAGAGGAAATTTTAAGAATTTCCTCCACAGGATACTTATTTTCCCATTTACTGTTCCTCAAATCCACCCTCCGATATTTACACTTCTCTTGCCCTATTTCACAGAAAAACAGCCATTTTCTTCTTTCCTAGGGTGCCCTCAGCTGCTTGTTCTTCTTCACTCTCCTCATCCAGGGCTCTCCTTGACCGTGTGACCACCGCCTCCCAAGCTACCCATTCCCTTGCATTCCTCTGCCTTGCTCTGCTTCACAGCCTCATCTTCTCACTGAAACCACTACGAAAGCGGTTCTCCATTTCCCCTCCTCCTCTCCCTCCTCTTCCTCCTCCTGTTCTGCAGACAGAACCCAGGGGTTTTACACTGAGCTAAATCCTCTATTTTTTTTTTTTTTTTTTTTGAGATCAGGTCTTACTAAATTGCCAAGTCTGGCCTCAAATATGCAATCCTCCTGCCTCAGACTCCCAGAGTGCTGGGATCACAGTTGTGTATCACCATGTCCAGTGACAGCCTTCTTATTGGACCCCCTCTATCGATCTTTCCTCCTATCACACACTGGATACTACCAGAAACTAATCACCCCAAAGTGCAGCACTTCACAAAAGCTTCAGTTAGTCCTTCAGTGTTGTCAATAAAATAAAAAATTCTACCACTCATTAATCAACATATCCAGGAGCCATCATTAAAACAGTGCAGTGATTAACCGCACAGAAGTCAGAGTGAGACTACCTGCTTTCAAGTCCTATTAGTTCTGGCTCGGGTAAAGTTTGTTGGGCAGATTTTCATTGAGCTCCCCTGTCATAAGGCACAGGGCCAGTTGCTATATGACATCCAAAAATAAATAGCTTTCCACATAAGAATAAGCTTTTTTTTTTTTTTTGTACCACGGATTGAACTCAGGGCCTTGTACTTGCGAGGCAGGTGGTAGAACCACTGAGCTAAATCCCAGCCCCAAAATAAGCTTTTAACCTAGAGGTAGATAAAGA